TAACACCATTTATCACAGCTGAGAATGTAATAACAGATCATTTTCCTTTTGTTTTGACGGTCTTTGAACACATCACATGCAACAAAGGATTTTGTCTTTAAAGCACTTTGTTCTGCGTGTGTGTGTGATATCATATGCACCCATATTTCGCTGAAGTGCACACACAGCTTGTGTAATGATGCAGTTTGAAAGGAGGATTAGCATTTTGCTTATGATGCTAGGTGATAACTCAAACTCCAGTGCTGTTTACTGGTTGCATTGGCTCCAATATCTACATTTGGTGCAAATATGAAAATATATATTGTTATTTATGGTGGAGGGAGGCTCATGCATTCAAAATAAGTGACTGTCAGCTTCATGGACTGAAAAAGTAAGGACTGATGGTTGACACGGGAGCAACATCACTTATAATAACTGACATAGAGAAGTTTAATGAGACTTTCAACCCACATCCTGGAGGTCGCTGACAGAGAGAGAACAAATGGTGTTGCATTGAGAAGAGGTGCTGCGTAGATACTGTCAAAGCCACTAAAAAGTGTGTTGCAGATGTGGCTCATTACACAGGAAACAATGTATCAGATCAGATAACGGCATAGAATTCATAGCAAAAGACTTCCAGTCATTGCTCAGTAAGACTGCCATAACACAGGAGACTTCAGCACTTTATTCACTACATCAAAATAACACAGCTGAGAGAAATTAAAGAACATCGTTTAAAAAGGCAAGATGTATGCTACTAGAGAGCAACCTATCAAAGAAGTTGTGGACATTTGTTGTCCTGACTGCTGCAGCAGTTTGCTCCAGGTGATACCATGAGACATGGACAGATTTCGTACTACATTGTTACAAACCTTCTAGATTTCTAGGGACAAGGGATGCAACATACAGCCAATGTCATCATGCAAGGACTGCTATTCATTGTTTAGTGATCCGACAAAATTAAAGTTGCATAAATACACACAAAAATGCTTAACAGAAGAGGAGTCAAGTGAGGTGAGAACAAAGGGGGAGTGCAGGGAGTGGTGCTAATTCATAAAGCAAACAAAACACAACACAATGACTTTAGTTGTTCTTTTATCTCAGACAAGTTAGGATGCTACATACCTTGACATGTTTCGGCGGAAATTTCCCCCTTCCTCAGAAGTGTCACTTGGTGGTGGTTGTGATGCGTCTTTATCAGCTGATTTGTCAATCAGCCGATATTAGGGAGGCATGACTTGACAGGACGGTCACGCCACCTGCTGTCTGTCTGCCGCCTCTCAAGGATGCTGCTCCAGGTGTGGGAGAGCATGTATGCCCCCTCGTCCCTGTTCATTGTCCCTGGGCCCCACTTCCTTATTTCAATAGCCTCCCTGATCCAGCGCCGGTATTTGTTGTCCTCAGTGTGTATGGCTCTGGCCTTGTCCCAGTCCATAAGATGATTTCCCTTTTGCAGTGATCTGTTATGGCTGATTTGTAGGTTTCTTGTGCCTTTTCTTTTATTGATCTTGTTTGTCTTATGATTGACAGATCAGCTGATAAAGACCACCACCAAGTGACACTTCTGAGGAAGGCAGAAGTTTCTGCTGAAACATGTCAAGGTATGTAACATCCTAACATGTCTGAGATAAAAGAACAACTAAAGTCATTATCAGAAACTAAAGACATAATGACCACCATTGAACTAAAACAGAACATGCTTCCTGCTCATATAAAAACCCCACTGCCTCACTTAATTCTGCTGACAGAGATATCTCCAGCTCCAACACTACTGCTAACGTGATTAGCGAGCATGCTAGCAATAGTGTGGATGTAACAACTGTGCATGGGGCCTTTTTAATCTTCTAGCACAAGTGACATGTATTTCAGCTGCAACATTTCAACAGACATTTCAGCCTCCTGTATTGCGTATACACATTAACAAAGGGACACAACCAACTAAGCAGAAATTTCAAGTTTTGTTCAGGTTCAACACTTTGAACCTCAGCTTCTGTTACAGTATTTCTGAAAGTTTAAACGGTGAATTTTCAGCAAGCACACTTACATTTAAACAACATTTAAAAAACACAATACACATTAGAATTTCGACACAGCATCATTTCAATGATTTCTATAAAAGCTACTGAATGGCTACAGTATACTAAATCACAGCTGAATGAGTGAATGCATTCACTACTCAAAATATTTTGACCAGAATCCAAAGAATGATGCAGAACAGCAAATGCTATAACAGGCTTCCCTCCCACAATCAGGATAGTTTCACTTTCACTTGTCGATGACTATGAGGCAGGACAGACAGCAGTGCTCTACAACTTTACACAATTCAAGGTATTATAACACAACCATCCCAGACTAGACACATTGTAGACATCTGGCAGTATTGGTCACATGATTTTGCACCAGGACATCAGTGTCACAGTGGTAATTTGAAATATGGATGAATAAATAGTTTAAGGTGAATAATTGTATGTACAGCCATTGTTGAACCATTTGATTTGGTCATAAGGATAAATGCTGACCTCTGGTGGATGTGTGCAGGCACATTCATGGAAAACACACAAAACATGTTCTAAGTTAACAATTCAGTGTGTGTGTGTGTGTGTGTGTGTGTGTGTGTGTGTGTGTGTGTAATCCAGTGGGGACGTGATTATACCACTCTCACTCCAACTTTGCATTGTAGGAAATGTTATAAAGAAGACCCTTGCACCCTTCCGGGTATTATTCTATTTCATTCTTTTTTTTCTGGCTATTTTTTACCTCACAAACATTATTTAATCAGTAGTGTGACTGTCATGGCCGTCTACACATTATTACAGACATTTCACTTTGTTCTGTCTTTACCAGAGGGCCAAGGGATAAAATGTACTGACTGTAATGACTCAATATGACCAGCAGAGGCTGCTAATACTGTAACTTATTAAAACACTGATGAAGTTGAAGCACAAGCCCCTTTTACACTGCCAGATTTTCGGTGAATGTTGGGCCATTTTGCCGGCAAGCTGCGAACATTTAGACACACAGAGCCGGATTGGCGAGTTGATCCAAGGTGCCCAAATTTCCGCCTCATAGGGTAGACATATTGGCAGAACCCTTTTAGTTTAAACAGACCAAGGCGGCCTTCTGCAACGGGAGGGGCTGTTGATGACGCCACATGTGCGAGCCACTGGTGGTGGATAAACAGGAAACAGCTGATAGCAGGAATGAGCAGCGAGTAGCAAGAGGGAAACGCAAACCTGACAGGCACTGTAAAGATGAGCAACTGCGGAGACAAGGAATTGCACGCCCTCCTTGCGCTTGCAAACGAAGAGGCCATTAACCGCCAGATGACGGGGACGGTGAAGAATGGGCCGACTTACAAGAGAATCGCCGAAGGACTGACTAGTTGCGGCTTCCCTCCCACGTCACTGTTTACGTCACATGTTGAGCTACACGTTTTGTTACTTGCTCACGCCCCCCATTGCCCCGAAAAAGGCGCATTCTGTATAAACAAAAGCAGGTAGGCGGCATTTTGCTGCACTCCCCAATTTTGTTTTTATACTGCCAATGCTGAAAGAAGACTGATTGGGCTTTCCTGCAAATTTGCACAATTCCTGTTTAAAAAGGGCTACAGTTTACCAAAACAGAAAACCAAAGGTTAAGAACAGATATTTCCATAAGTCATTTAAGGGGCACTCTTTTGAAGATCTGTTAGAAAAAAAGTTAAGTGCTGATTAGGTTGTCAGGGGTTGTTCTGGCTTTTACTCAGACACTACAGTCATTCTAATAGAAAGCCTACATTACAAACCCAGCATGAACAAAGTCAGGATGTCAGAACATGAGGTTTTATGAGCATGAGGAAATTGTCACCAAAAAAGGAGAATAAAATCTGTCAGCTTATCCAAAGCAATTTAGAGATATGTGGGTTCTAGCTGAAAAATGAAATTGTCCCCTTAAAAGCATGAAGGCCCCAACATATAGATCAGTAATCCTTCTTTCTTGTGATAGTTTTTGTCTGACTAATCATAAAGCCTGGGATAGATGCACACAGCCAAAATAAGCTTCTCCTCCATTTTCTTGGTTTCTTGGTTACTAGGGTTATGAGTCCCGCCCCATGTGATTGGTTGCCTGAATAGGTATATATAGGTAATATGTGTCGTCACCAGCGCCTTTCTGAAAACTTCTGAGATTTTTAACTCCAAACGCTCGGGGCGGCCGCACTAAAAAAGGTGGAGCGCTCTTTCCTTGAGGTGGCTGTATGCTCTCTCTCCTTATAAGGAAAAATTGAAAAAAGACACCAGCGCTGAGAAAAATAAACGCATGTAGACACAGGTCATTCAGTAATTCACTGAATACAAATGATAAATGTATTTACTTTACTTGCCCCAGTTTACTTTATGGCTGCCACAACAATTGCGTACAGTGTGTGAATTTCATTTTTGAAAGCTGTATAATGATATGTTGGAAAACTAGTGATCGTCTATGCTTTCTTAAATACAGTCTGATGCCACACTAAATGTCTAACAGCCACGACAATGTTCGACTGGTGATGTTTTCAGCCTGTCAGTCAGAACGTGCGTGTGTCTTAAGTTGAAACATGGTGCAGGTGACACCAGGTTTATAGGAATCCAAATTAAGGTTCAATTCAAAGATGGGTGTGATCTGAACAAGGGGGCTAGGAGTAGGGAATAGAAAGAGGGTATGGGACCATTGCCCACCCAACTTTACACTCTGGCTCAGGAAACTTTACAGATATGCAGCTGAGATCACAATGAAGGCAATGTTCAAAGATGGGTGTGGTCCGTCCAAGGAGGGGAAGAGAGGGCTTTTGTGAAATGAAAACAGACTTTGGAGAAATAGCATTTTGAAATTAAATCTGCTGAAACTGAAAAATAAAAAAATAACATCAAATTAATATTGTCTTTAAAAATGACCTCCAGTGAACTCTGATACTGTGAAAAAGGAAGGATAGAATATTATTTCATCATAACTACCTATATAATAAAATCTGTCAGATTATTTCACATAATGGTCAAATAACAATATTGTGTATTTATTCATATGTTTATTTATTTCAGTGTCTTTCATTTAATCTTACACAGTACAAACAAGCATAAGTTTTGCAAAGCCAGGTTTTGAACACGTTACATATACTTTATACAGGAATTTCATCTACTAAATTCAACTAAAAGTCATGCAGTGAAGCCTCACATGATGATATCAATCGATCAGTCAGTCAGTCATCACATCAAATCATGCCCTCCCATCAGTTCCTTCAACTTGTTCATTGAAATATAATACTTTTTTGTCTCTTCTTACATTGTAGTGAGAAGAGCTGCTTTATGATTATCCATCTTTGCAGACTGGCTGTTGTGCATGTGTTTACTGAATCCCTGAGGTTTAGTGTTGCTTATTTGCACATACATGTGTATAAAAACGTAACATTGTGCAGGAGAGGCTAGAAGCTAAAAATGATTTAAGATACCCTCCATATTGTTATTTATACGCCGATCAGCCAAAACATTAAAGCCACTGGTGGGTGAAGTGAATAACGTTGATCATCTTGTTACGGTGCAATGTTCTGCTGGGAAATTTGGGTCCTGGCATTCATGTGGATCCTACTTAACGTTCTCCACCCACCTGAACACCAATGCAGACCAAGTAAACCCCCTCATGGCAATGCACCATCACAAAAACTGCTCAGGCATGACCCGAGGAACAGGAAAAAGAGCTCAAGGCATTGACCTGACCTCCAAATACCCCAGATCCCAATCTGATCAAACATTTAAGGGATGTCCTGGTGCCCCAGGGGTACCCCGGCCCATGGTGGGTGCTTCTTGGACTGGATTTGGCTCTGGCCTGTCAAGGCATGGACACAGGACCTCTGGAGGGTGTCCTTTAGTGCCTGGCATCAGGGCATTACTTTCAGGCAAGGTCGATGCCTTGAGCTCTTTGTCTCGTTCCTCAGACAATTCCAGAGCCGCTTTTGTGGTGTTTTGTGGCATGGCGTATTGTCCTGCTTGGGGGCCACTGCTACTGAGGAGTGCCATTGCCATAATGGGGGGTACCTGGTCTGCACTGGTGTTTAAGTGGGTGGGGTGTGTCAGGTGGCAACCACAGAAATGTCAGAACCCAAGATTTCCCAGCAAACATTCCATTTTAACAAGAGGATCAGTGTTGTTCACTTCACCTGTCAGTGTTTTTAATATTTTGGCTGATTGGTGTATAGTGCAACATAAACAAAGATTGCATAATTCATCAAACTTTCTTTGTTTTCATGCTTTGATCAAGGTTTGTGTCAGCAGAATATTGGTCTACGGGTCGCTGAGGAAGTCTTCTCCAAAGGTAATCATCTGTCTCAGTGCATTCATTATCAGTGCATTCATGTCATCATTGATGTTGGGCTCTGGCTCATAGTTCTTCACAAGAAAGATGCAGTTTTGTGGAATCCCCATCAACGTGTAGAATTTGTCGACCTGAGTATGAAAGTAACAGTATATTAGTTCATTAATAAATCACAGAGTGACAAGAGATTTTTGGAAATACTGAGACTGAAATTGGAAATTTAATTCTAACATTACAAGTCTAAAAATGCTTAAGAAAAACCCCAATACAAACTTACCTGATTTTTCAGGTACTTGCTCCTATAGACATTGTTTAGATTTTTTTTTGCCTCAGGACAGTCTGAATCAACTTTGGTGAGAATAGCCAGTTGGGGAATATCTGTCAACGCAGAAAGCTAATCAGTATTTTATGCATTTGTTTTGCTGGTATTTTGAGTCATAAAACCCCACCTGGCACCATTATTCCACACAGAGTAATAATTACCTCCTTTTCCACCAACATTTCCAGGAACCTTTATTTCCAGGAATTTATTTACCCGGGTAAAAGAATTCCTGGTAATCTGTGTGATTTGCATTTCCACCACACCACAAAGTTCTGGTAAGTTTATTCAAATCAGGCTGATTTGGCTGATGAATTTCTTCCTCGGCAAGTACGCTCAAAAGAGCCTGGACCTCGTCGTCCGTCCACTTGGTTGAGGGAAAGTTTTTTCACCAGGTGATTTTGGTGAAAACGTGCCATGGTTTTTCAAAAATCCTGGGTAAATAAAAGTTCCTGCAGTGGAAAAGGGGCTATTATGTGCTGTCTGCTCTCACTCAGTTCATTGGCTGCCAGTCGGACTTCTCTCATCTTCTTCACCACTTTATCATCTATCAAAGATACTTTGTCAGCAGGAATGACACAAACTAGAACATGAACTCTGTCATCCAGAGTGGGAGATGACCTGTAGCCTTCATCACCTTCCTCCAGTTGATCTTTGGGTTTAAACTACAAGAAAATGAGAATGCAGTCAAATAATGTTTTTTTTTTAGCGATGCCATGCATTTTTAAGTAAAAAAAATGTTTCATGCAAAATAGTGAGAAAAAAAGGATAACTTAAAAGGTACCCTGTTGAGTTTATGACCTGAAATAATGCAGTTACTGAAATAGTGTGGGTCCTGTTTTGTTTGTCTCGTGCACATAAAGACGCACATGTGCACACAGGTGCATGCTGGTAATGCAATACACATTCCTGCCAATAGTTTCACATTCTTCCCCTGATCTACAGGTGGCAGTAATGCATCATACATGCAGAAATGCAAAGGCAGGAAAGAAGACTTATTGCCGTGGTAGTTAGGGAATGAGGTATAAAATGCATTTGTCAAACCTCAAGAATACACACACTGGCCCTCTTTCATCAGTCTATCTTACAGACTAGCGCAGATCCAAATGCAGAAATCATCTTATGATAGGGTTTGTGTGTTATTCATGAAACCTCCTTATCACACCAATAACAGTGTAGGAATAATCAGGTGTTAATAAATGTGGCAGCTGAAAACAATCAACATTTACATATCCAGCACTTTTATATTCTTGGTTTAGAAGCCTCACCCCTGTTTACAATATGGAGAGACACAATTTGGCCCAGAAAAGAAACTTTTCTATGCTAGAAATGGAAATGTTGATGTCGCGTGTCCAATTCAACCAACTAGCTCTATTTGTTAGCCTGAAAAGTGTCATCAAATGAAGTTGGAGGAATGCATTTTGGAAAGAAAACACTGTTGCGGTCAACAGTGTTGAAGTGGACAACTGAACTTCAGCTGAGGTTGGAATATTTAATTTATACATCCATGATACACCGATCAGCCAAAACATTAAAACCACTGACAGATGACATCAGCAATACTGACCATCTTGTTGCAATGCCATGCTCTGCTGGGAAACCTATGGTCCTGGCATTCATGTGGATGCCACTTGAAGCACTTCTGTCATCCAAACACTACTGTGGACCAAGAAAATAGTCTAATCACAATTCTCCAACTCAGCTACACTAACTGTGCTGCACTGCAAGACCGTATCGTGGCTTCTGCTCACGTCCACATTGATAAATGCTGAGCTTTGTGTAGAAATGACCGTACACCCAGTTTTGTTCTGTATGTTGATTTTATAAATGAGGGCCAATATGTTTGGGTGAGTAAGACTTCGTTCAAATACAAGAAGTTTGTGCTCTAGAGAAAGGATCAGCATTCAGTGAATAACCTCCTAAGCCCTACGATACGCTATTATGGCAAGGCTTAGCTTTACAGACCAGTGAGCAGTGATAACTAACATGTCTTTGGGGTCATCAGGGGGGAACCTCCTTTCACCAGTGTTTCATCTAGTTCTACCAGCTCAGTGGCCTAGTGGTAGAGTGTCCGCCCTGTCACTGGGAGGTCGTGGCTGGGTCATACCAAGCCTCCCTGCTTGGCACTCAGCATCAGGGGTTGGAACTGGGGAGTTAGATCACCACATGACCCGAGTGCGGGATGGGGATGGGTCAAATGCGGAGAACAAATTTCACACACTCAGGTGTGTGACAATCAGTGGAACTTTAACTTTAACTTTAGTTGGTCCCACGACACCTCCAGGAGGCTAGACAGTGATCTCTGGCGTCCCAGAGACACTCCCCTACGTAATGCCTGGTCTCACTGCTCCAACCCAATAACCTCCTTCCCTTACTTACACATGACTTTCTCAGCCCAAACAGCACTGCCAGTTCAACAAACCCAGGCTCCGTACATGCGAGCTCCAGGTAGTGACCGTGCTGATACTACCTTTCTTAGCACATTCACCATACTCTATTTCACATGCTACATAGCATAACTCCAATATAAGCTAAAGTTAAAGGAGATAGAGAAGATAAACTCACAGGATCAGCAAACAATTTGCAACATGGTCTTAAATAAAAGGGATTCAAATAGGCCACCCACACACTTAAATAACCTTCCTCTTCCTGGATTTTCTCCTGAGAGGACTGATTGGTGGATCTCTCCACCTGATCTCAAGGAGTTATGTATTCTGCTTAGTAGTTCCCACTGAATGTACATGTAATTCATTTTGTTTTTATTTTTTTCAAAACTCCACAGGGCCCCTTTAAATCATGTCAGAGTTAAAAGGATTGTACCTGGTAGCCTTCTTCCACATGTCCTTGCAGGGCCAGTTTGACGTCCTCCACAAGAACTCCAGTGTCAGTGTTTTGCTCAAAGCCCATGATGTCATTGAAAACGAAAGGATAAACACTCTCTGGACCTTTTTTGATCTTGTAAGTTTTGTACTGTAAAGTAGAGGGTGCAATTATTTGCATTATTTTAACAAATCTAAGATGAATATACAACTCTTAAACCACAAATATCTACAACTGCTTAATTTTATTCAGCAAAGAAATCCACATTGACAAAAGATTTTTTGGGTCTTACAGCAGGGGTGGGGGGGTAATTGTATTTTTCCTCTGTGCACACCATCTTACTGATATCACTAATGCCCGTTTTAATCAATTAAACACTGTTAACACTCAGAGTATATATGGATTACTTTGCAAGGATCTGATGTTTCTGCACACATTTTATTTATTTTAGTTTGTGCAGATTATAATTTCTTCCTCCATTTTGTATATTCCTAATGTTGTTGGGTTTTTTTTCTTACTCTAAACACACAAGCAATGTTTAAAAAAAAACCTGTAACTAAACTGTGATTATCATAGGAAATGCATTAATGTAGTTAGCAATCCAAGATGCTATTTTATCCACTTTCATCAAGTTACTGATAAGTATTAATAAGTATTAATGTAGACTTTAAATAACTGGAAGAATTTTGCTTTGAATCACGACAATCAACAGCTATTCATACCTTTGTGGTGTAGCTTCTCCCAGAGATTGCATCTGTTGGAGCTCGACCGGTAATTCTGCTTTGTAAAATGGTGTCAATAGAGTTGATAAAACTGGACTTGCCGGCACCAATTGGTCCATAGAGAAGAATTCTGAGATGTTTGAGGTTTTTGTTCCCAGGTTTGTACAGTTTCACAAAATCGAGATCTTCCTCTTTGTTCCTGTTTCATGATGGAAAATCGTTGCATTAAAACAGTGTTATTTTTATTATTAAATCCATTAGCCACATTGTGATTGCTGCTCTGTTGTCACACACATCAACCAGTCAACACAGCAACAAAACACTTAAGTGATACGTCAAGGAGCAGAGCCACACATTGAGGCCAAAATGGCACCATACAGACTTTATATGTATTAATACTCACCGCGGCAGATTCCTCCATGGCGTACTCAAAAGTGCTGAAAAGCAAATAACATATGTTACCACACAGTAAGACAAAGCTGTATTTTAATATCAGAATTATCCATGAATAGTATCATCACAATATTTAAATAACTTTCCCAATATTTGGAACATCATTCAAGAAGGTGAAAGCGCCAGAGGTAAAGACTCACCTCCCCCCATAGCTGTAAAGGAAGACATTTCAAAATCAAATGCTAACATAAGTTGGAGACTCTTATCTAAGTAGTAAAATGTTTTAAATGTTTTAAAAGTAACAAATTACATACTAGAGAATGATAACAGGAGACAGGAAGGAGGTAAAACCATTGCTAAATAAAAACAATTATAATTCAAGCATTTCAAAGTATAGCTTTTAAGTTTAAATTTCAATAAAATAAAATTAGTTAAACATAAACCATAATAGGTCAAACTCAGGATTGAGGTTTCATTTCCTTTCATTTTATAGCTCTACAGAACATTTACAACTTTGAGAAAAGAATAATAATAACACCATAAGAGTAACTATACTACAGTAACATGAAGAGAATTTACTCACTTTGAAGGATTTTCCTAAAAGTTAACTGATTTGTATTCTGTTACTGAGCACACAAATCATCACATAATAAACAAAGTGCACTTTTGCTTCCCAATCAGAAGAGCATATTAAACTGAAGACAGACATAACAGAAAGCTCTTACCTTTGTGTAGTTGCTCTGGACACAGTGACACTGCATTCTTTGGAGAAAAGTCTTTTTATCAGTTCTCCTCCTGCTTTCGCTTTCATTCTCCGTCTACCTCAAACTGGAACGACCCTCGTTAAACAGAGGAGGTGGCCTAGAACACCTCTTATCACTCTTGAGATCCCTCCCCATATGTCTTAACATCCGTTCACACCTTGACCCACCTAACCCAAATGACACACAAAATGGCTGGGTGGGTCAATGACCTCAAGGACTCTGTGAAGGTTCACACCCAGTTCAGTTCCCAGTGATTTGGCACTTAAGATTACCATGACCTTGATGACTGAGACTCCTCACCAACATGTTTAAATGGTTGTAAGCCATCGGAAAAACACACCACAACCCATAAAGCATCAAGCAACATTATTTAAAATCTTAATTGAGGTTGCCGCCAATTAAGTTTTAAAACAATTCAGTTTTCATTGATGCAGTTTGAAAGGAGGATTTGCATTTCCCTAAGAAATTAGGTTATAAGTCTCACTTCAGTGCTGTTTGCTGGTCGCATTGTCTTCAGTATCTACGTTTGCTTACAGCAACAGCTCAAGGAGCTTCAGTCAACTTTCAGCAGGGGTGTAAACAGCTCATCCACAAGAACGGTCCCAAGTTTGACGTCAAAGTGTACAATGGACTTTACTATGTAAACACTGTAAGTGAGAAAAACGAAGATAGGTGTCTTTATGATATGCCACGTAAGATTCACCTTTATTCTCAGTAAACCATATGACTTATAAGAAACTCCTCACTTGTCTTGACCAAGGTCCATTTCTAAGGGACTGGTCGTTATTTATGAGTGGGGTGGCTCCAGACAGTGACACTGCAATGGTAGGGAGAAAGGGTCAAATAATAATGTTTTAAGCACTGGGGGAGGGGGTCCTCAAAGGACTGGAGCAGAGTAATACAATTGTTTTGTTACAAATAAGTTCATATGGAAAAGTCTTCAAGTCTGAATCATTTTTTTCTGCTTTTTATGTGTGTGGGAATTCTGTTGTGGTCACTTTAAGAGTTACAGAAGTCAGTAACATGATGTTATGTCATGTGACTAGTAATCAGGAAGTAAGGTAGCATGGCTCTCAGTGATGTTGGTTCGTTGTACCTGAGTTAATCCAGTGGTATCTGCACACACCTGATGCCTAAAGTAGCATTGTGGGTATGTATGCATTTGTTTGATTGTTGTCTACATTTGCAAATCATCATTTTTAGGACAATGTTAAATACTGTTTGATTGTAGATATTTACCAAGTTACTACTGCTAGTGACTACATCGCTCTTTAGCCCTTTGAAGTTCATTAAAGGACCATTACAAGTAAATAAATGAACAGACAGTTGATTACATTTAAAGGAATGTTACACACCTACGCACAAAAAGTAAGGAAATTTGTGTTTGGCAGATTATTTATTTGTTGTAACAGTGTTTCTTGGCTTCTAGCCTATTTATTTCCCTTTAAAATGATGCCACATTTGTAAGGAGCATGCATTTGTGGGATGAGCAGCAGAGTATGTGGGTATGTGGGCACTTGATTGTCAGCAACTAGGGGTACCAGAAGCTCAAAGCAAGAGTCAATAGCAACAGCAAAATAAAAGCTGTTTGGCATTGGCAGAGAAGATTTGGCAAATTTTTCATGGGTGCAACCCACCTACTCAGCTCTGCTGCTCATCCCACAAATGCATGTTCCTTACAGAAACAGGCTTTCCAGTGGTATAATATTCATTGCTAAGAAGCATTGTTACAACAAAGAAATAATCTACCAAACACAAATGTCATTACTTTTTGTGCTTAGTCTATATTACACTTTGAGTTGAAAAAACAGTAAATACTAGTGAAAACAAGAAGATTTAATTCATGTGCACATTGAGTTGATATTGATTTACACTGTGAGTATTTGTATATGTTAAAATCAAACATAGACTAAATTCTGCTCATTGTATATTTTTTCGTTTCACCTTTCCTTGCAGTGTCATTTAACCTGTGGACAAGAGCACAACGGTCCTTAGAGTCAGGAACGTGTTTACCTAACTGTCATGTTACATACAGCACATATAATGAGGACAGCACAGTGAAACCACAGCTTCCGGGCAGGACAACGCAGTGCAAGCCGCCAGATAATATCAACATCGTCACACGCAGCCAGTGGATGAGCGCCAGAGCAGTCTCCAAACAGACTGTGCCATGGCAGAGAAAGCATCTTCATTAACACTTTCCCTGCCAGAGTATTATTTTTAAGTTAACAGACACGGCCAGCATTTTTGATTATATTCACCAATCTTTCAAGACCCACAGAATATTTTTTTTATGAATGTGTAAACAGTATATACACAAAACTAAAGAAGAGACCTTCCATTTTTAAACACAGAAAACATTTTATTCTATCGTATTCCATTTCTTTTTTTTTTATCAACTCTTGAATTTGTGCTTTTTCATTTAAAGAAAACAACATTTTGGACAAAAAGTGGAGAAAATTGTCTTTTTGTCAAAGTCAGTCACTTTCAACTACAAAATCAATTCACTTTTTTTTCCTTATTTCCCTATGTCATCTTGAATGAAAGGAATATAAATGAAAATAATAATAATTATAATAATGAAAATAATTATGATTATAATAATGAAACACATTGCCACATTCAGTGATCACGCAGTGCTCTGTTGTTTCCCCCTCCTCTGTGGTCGTCTTGTCCATGTGTCACTGTCACCAACATGGAGATCCCGTTTCATCCCACTAGACTCGTTGCTTCTTCGTCCAAATTGGATTCAGAATGTAGATCAAAACAGGAATCGTCGGAGTCTGAGTCCATCAACATCTCCACGGCCTGCGCAACCGTAAACATTTCCGTTGGTGACGGTGTGCAAGCTGCAACATCTTCCTCCGATTTCCAGCAGATCTTTGACCATTGACTATTTCTGCTCAATGTAAGACACAGAGACTGACTGAGCCTTCTGTCTGCACTCTGCTTTCATTTCGTCCATATTCGTGCACATTTTCTGAAAGCTTATGGACACAGACAAAATGGAGGTGTACCACCAGAGATCATGGAGACAATGTAGTGTACTTCAAGCAAGATGCGACCATAAGAGATGACGAAGAAATTTAACAATGGCAGAACGGAATAAGTAGGTAATATATAATAAGATATACTAATATACGGTAAGATGTGTGTAATGTATATGATGATATATAATGGCTGCACAGACCACCACTGTCTCCGATGCTGCCTCCATTTAAAGGTAGAATAATACAAGCCCCCCCATTGTCGCCTTATGTGTTGTTGTGTGTAACTTTTGACTCTGCCGTCTAGTGTCATCTATTGGCTGTATCTATGCATCATAAAGGCAAATGATAGTATGGCAGCAGTGGCATTTAAAAATGTTTGTAACAAACTATTTTCCTACGTAAAGGGAGTATAAATGAGCCTTCACCCCCTCCACCACATACTAGGCTGCAATCTGAACAAGTCATTGTTTAGTTTGAAACAGAAAGAAAGTGACATAGAAAGTTGTATGATCACCTCAGGGAAATGGCTTCACACTGAGTCACTGTGTCTATAACAACCACACTGTTAATGAAATGACTGTCAGCCAACAGCAACAAACAATAGCTTTATCTGCATGTCAAGCTGAATATGGTTACATGGCACTGACTACTACCACACAAGAACGACTTACTGTTACAGCTATTAACTTACTTTTCAAGCACTTTTTGAGAACTGATCTACAGCACTACATTACTCTTGGACAGGCTGGGTCTGATTTCAGCAGTTTAAGCTGCTTACAGCCGCTGTGTAGACACCACGACACAGATAGTGTAGCTAACAGCCACTCTTGAAAAGCCTTCCCCGGAGTTTTTGTAAACTTGAAACAACTGATTTACAGTTTGACATTACTCTTGGTCCAAACACCTAAGTGTAAGTTTACCAAAATCCTACTAGTAGTAATATAATATTATTAATAATGATCTAAACATGAGACTGTGATGCATCCCTTTTTGTCTTCTCTGAATGGGTGTTTGTCTTTTAATTTATTGATTGATCCTTCCCCAGGAGAGTATATTAAACAGACTATGTGTGACATCAGCTGACTCTTTGTTTACTGACACCTCTACCCTGACCTACTCTAAAGCCCAGCAGCCATGCTTTGTTTATAACACTTCCAGGGATGTGGGAATACGTTGTGGTGTGTGAAGAAGCCTGAATAAAAGTTAACTGTACCTTGCAGGCTCCTTGTCGTGGTTTGTGTCCTCACCACTGTCAACCTGGCTTTTATACCTGACTCTTTGGGCCCGTCCCAGTACCCCCCCTTAGCCCTACCCCTTGGCCCTACCCCTACACTTGCGCGTTCCCATGTGGGGTAGTGGTGTCTGAATTCCTTTTTGCGTGTAGGCGTAGGGGGCATAACGAGGGGTAGTGGGTATGAAACTAGCCCTTCGGAGCGAGGGATTTCAGATGCTTACTTGCCAGCGAGGGGTAGACGTCGCCATGGCTACCACTGAGCAAGAGATGGGGAAAAAGTTCATACATAGCTAACGTTACTGTCGTCAGGTTGCTTGTTAGCTAGCTAGCTAGCTCGCACAATCTGGCGTCTGTCATCTGTCCTGTTCTGCAAAATTGTCGGACTTTTCACATTACAATAACACGCCAGCTAGTATAACTATGCTGCCTCGTAATGTTAGCTAGTTAGCTAGCTAGCAGAAGTCCCCTGTTGTCTGTCGTTCATCAAACTAAGTATGATGAATGCGGCAAACGCGATTGGTAGGATGAATGAGACTGCATTGTAGATGCTGGTTGGAAATGTTGATGGCTCTCAACTTCCTGTTTAAAATAGTTACGTATGCGTGAATGTAACCGATGCAGTGACATAGGGAGTGGTGTTTCAATTCGTAGGGAAAGATTTCCACCACTACCCCTCATTGCTTAAACTGAGGGCCAAGGGGTATTGGACAAGGGGGGGTATTTGGATTGGGCCTTACTTTCTGGCAAACTCCCCAGCAACATGGACATCTCTTTTGAGTGCTTGTTGGTGTGCAAAGGACCAGAGCTAGTTTTGTTTGTCATCATCTGCTGCTCACTGGTGCCATGTTCCCCGAGCTCAGTCCCTGGGGCTAAGTTAGGTAATGGAGAAAATATGCAACATTGTCTGCAGAGTTCAGGTTGATGTGCTGCCATGGCACTGCACAGAGTACTGAGAATGGAGAAACCGAAACAGACACCTGCACAGACAGTCACCTCAGTGCCTCCACAGCTTTCTAATGGACTTTCTCTCAGCCTTTCAAAATTTTAGTACTGCATGTCCAAGTAATGTTACTTGGTTCATGAGAGGCTTTAGGTAAACATGTGACACACCCGACCACACCTGTAGCTCACATACCTGGACCGGTCTACTGTCAGAGAGGACAATTCTTTTAAATCACATGATCCAAAGGAAACCGAAAGAAACTAAAAACAGTAAAAGCTGCGTGGCCTCAAACAAAACACACAAATGCACAAGAAGATAACACCAAACAGGCATCAACAGCTACTGGACACCATCAGGTATACCAACCACGTCTTTCCATTTCATTCATTTAGGAACATAAGCTCATGATTAATAACTGATTTAATTTGTCTTCAACAGACCGTGGATCAAAAGTCACATAATTTGTGACAGTAATAAAAATGAGCTTGGATTGCAATATAAATAGCTTAATTTCTCAATTTCAGATGTATTACTGGAGGTAAACATCACCACTTCTTTTCACAGGCGCAGCAAATAAGGTAAGATTTTTTTTATTTATTTATTTTTATTTTTTTGGTGATACCGACTAATGTGATTGTAAAATTTGCTTTTGAAGTAAAAAGTTTTCACAATTAAGGAACTGTTAAATTTGTTATACCTGCAGTATATAATTTTCTGCTGTGTTTAAACCACTACTTAATTTCGTGTGTGTGTGTGTGTGTGTGTGTGTGCGTGCGTGCGTGCGTGCGTGCGTGCGTGCGTGCGCGCATTATGGTGTACATGTTAATATTAAATAATATTACCACTACATAAAAGAATCTATCTTTAATATCTTTATCTTTCTTTCTAAAATATTTTGAAATATTAAGTCTCAAATATTCTGTTAACATTTGTTTTGGTTGACATGAATAATGTGGTTCATATATTGATAAGTGTTTCTTATTTACATGTTGCCTTAATATCTAATTGTAGCAACGATGGATTGGCTGCAAAGGTGGTTCACATCTTCCCCCAGTAAGATATTTTTTTTAAAACTTAAAAAGATAATGACAGTAAATGACACATTCTTAATTTATGTGAAGTTTTCTCCCCCTAAAATGTAACTTATATCTTACATCAACTTGTGCACTTCAGCTTCTCCTGAGCCATGGAGGAACATACCATGGGGGTGAGTAATGTGTTTAATAGTTTTGGTGCCTCTGGTGTTTAATGGCTTTTCATCAGCTAACTATCTTTAAAACCAAAATGGTACAACTGCACATAGTCATGCGTTAAGCCTGCCTGTTATGTTTTACTTTTTGTTGTCAGCCTGAGAGACACGATAGTTTGATTTCAAGGGTGTCTGTGACAGTAAAGCACACCATATGTAAAACTGATTTAAACAAGTAAATCTAACATTTAACCTTTTCTTTATTAAACAGCCACAAAAACACAGACCTGCAGTATGTGAATGATTATAAGCCTCGTAACAGTGAGGTCCAACAGCTCAGAATTCTGTTTCATGGACCCTCTGGTTCTGGCAAGTCCAGCTTCATCAACTCTGCTGACAGTGTTTTACAAGGCAGAGTCACTGGTCGGGCTTTGGCAGATGCAATGGCAGACAGCTTCACCCAAACAGTATGAACCACTTTTGAACGTGAAACTTCACCAAATTAGCTTGTAACTCTTTTACCTAATAGTCAAATTTTTTACATGTACCTGCTATGATAATTGAACCACACAGATCAGGCGAGCAGCAGTGTTGCAACTAGTTGTGATGAAACTGATGAGCAAGACACAAACTGCTATATGGCCATCACTCAATAGGTGGCACTGTTGTCCTTATAACTGCACTTTTCTGTATTACAGTACAAAAATTACAAAATCCAAAAAGGAGGACCAGAGACATTTTACCCTTTTGACTTCACTGACATCATGGGCCTTGATAGGGAAACCAATAGAGGAGTTTCTGTGGGAGACATCAAACTGGCCGTGATGGGACACATTAAAGACGGATACACTGTAAAATATACTGAATTCATTAAACTCTGTTGGATATATTTCAGTAAATCAATCCAGCTTTGAGATTATATTTTCATTTAAAGTCATTAAAGAAACTAGCTACATGCAAAACTCTCTCTAAAATATCCAAGAATAATCCAGACTACAACAAAGACCCCGCTCTGAAGGACCAAGTTCATGTTCTGGTTTGTGTCATCTCGGCCGAGACATTGAACATCCTGAGTGATGAACATGTGAAAAAGATGAGGGATGTCAGACTGGCAGCCAGAGACATGGGTAAGAGTTATAGGGTTAGTTACTGGGTTTTGTAAGTTTCCTCTAATAACCTGACAAACATTAACTTAACTGACTCAGATTCTGCTCTGTATCGGCAGGAATTCCTGAAGTGGCCATTCTCACCCAAATTGACAAAGCCTGTCCAGAGGTCAAAAAAGACATAAAGAATGTGTATAAGAGCAAGTACCTGAAGAAACAGGTAAGTTTCTAGAGAGTTGTTATTCAAGTTGGGATTTGATTCTGCTTTACTTTTAATACAAACATGAAGAAAAGAAAATTCCCCTTTCCTTTTATTCGTAATTGGACAGCATGTGGGAACTCTCTTTTCTCTATGGACAACTTCCTTCTATGCACCTGTCAGGTATTTGAAGTTGTGCACAAGCCTCCTTATTCTACTAATCTAACACAAAAATCTCCTTTGATCAGCTCTTTGCTTTCCTTCCATAAATATCCAATTCTTAATATTTAGATGGAGAGATTTAGTGTGGCGCTGGGTATTCCAGAGTACTGCATCTTTCCTGTGAAGAACTACCACTCAGAGATCGACACAGACGATGACACTGATGCACTGATACTGAGCGCACTGAGACAGATCATTAACTTTGGAGAAGACTTTGTCAACAGCACAGAAAAACAAGATGGCAGGACAGTGGGACTTTACTGTCGTTTCCTTTGAGGAAACTGGGACTATATTTATCAGGTCCTACTAATCCAGAGTGGTTTGAGAAATTAAGAATACATACAAACAAAAGTTCGGGTCTTGGGAGGATATGCATTTAGAGTTTAGAATCATAAAGTAGTTGGTTATGCTTTGTTGATGCAGGTGGTAATTTCTGGTGTTAAACAGGTTAAAAGAAAGCTAAACGTCTCGGGTAAAACTGGGCATAAACTTTGTTTTTAGACTACTAGCGACATACATCTTTAGTTCCAACAGTGATTTCTGTTTCAGTGTTTGGACCTGCTCTATACTGAAAGATTGTGCTACAGTACTGCTGTTCAGGTAAAACCACAATAAATAACAAACAAAATAAAATTTGTCATTAGTTTCCTTCATTTCATTCCAACTAGTCCATAACATAGACTGTATAAATAATGAACCTAAGTATTGTGACTCCACCCATTGGTTTGTGGATTTTGAAGCCTTAAATTTGACATTTCGGCTGTTTCCAGTTTGATTTTTTTGAAGTCAGAAGTGACCATATTTGGGTGAGGGGCTGGCCCTGTGGAGGAGCTGTAGTACAATGGATTAGCAGATAAATTGTGCACTTTTTGAAAAAAGCATGAAATTTCTACCATAGTTTGTACATACCATAAGGTTTATTTTCAGATGTGGAGAGAAGTCAGATTTGACCTCTGAGGCCCGGGAGAGGTCAAATTCAAGATGGCTGCCAATAATATTCAAATATGCTTAACTTTGGAACCAAACACAATAAAAAAAAACGTTTAAGGTGTAATTTACAACTAAATTTAGGGTGCCCATTCACTTGATGATACTTTTGAAATCATCAGAATTCAAGAAAATGCATTTAGGTCAAAGTTATGGTCAAATTATGCAGACGGAGAGAGCTAAAGGATGCAAAAAGATGGTTTATTTCCAAGTTTCCAACATAATAGTAATGATAATGATCATTAAAAATGTATTTACTTACAATATTTCAGTAGGCCTACTATGCTTCTTATACTGAAACTTGCTTTGAAATCAGTAATAACACGTCTACATTTACATGCCAGCTATTAGCTCTCAAGCCTGTTTGATACCAGCGGCACAGTATTGAACTAGGCTACCTTGCTATCATCATTAATTCAGCTATAGTCCTACTTCACACAGATGACCAAGCTGAAATCTCTAGAACACGCGCTGTTCAATCATTCAACTGACTTCAGCTCATGTACGTATGTTCCAGACTGTCTTTTAGTTTAGCTAGCAGAATTATTTTGATCAGTGCCCGCCTTTTTTTTTTTTTCCACAGAAGCTAGATAGCTAGGCAGACTCATTCCTGGCTACAATCAAATTCAATGTATTTGCATGTTAAAGCTTTACTCAAGTATACTTATATTGGTGGCGTTTCCCAGATGGCTCGTAGCACTAAGAGCTTCTTAAGAACGCTCTTAAGCCTCCCGCGAAAGAAAAACTTTGTTGTAAGATCAAGCTAACCCACTCTTAACAATCTTCTTAGCGACCAAATGCGCACAGATCCAGCTGCGTCAGGCAAATTAATATTACACTAAGCTTTCTGACTAATTACTGTCTTAGTAATTTTTTCCCTGTTTTTCTGAGTAATATTTTCTGGTTTTCGGAGTAATTTATTTTTCTGTTTTTTTGGTGTAATTTTTTTCTGTTTTTCTGAGTAATTTTTTCCCCTGTTTTTGTGGTATGCATGTTCTTACTGTGCACATGAAAATAAACACTTTGAATCTTGAATCTATATGTTTTATGAAGACCCTATGTGCGCTCAAAGCTGTGGCACAAGTTACGCACCGAAATCTGGCGGAAGAAAAATAATAAGAAGAAGAAGAAAAATAAGTATAAGGAATAACAAGTGTGTTCCTCTATGTGCTGTGCACATCAGGCACACAAATAAAATGAATCATCATGACTATCATTTATCATAATTTGTCCGCAGATATCCCACGTCTGTATGCACATATGAGAAACACATCCACCCTCCAAACCTGCGACATTCAGATATCAGGCAACTGACAGGTGTAATTGAGCTCAGCTGGAACCACATCAATGGATGCTCCACCCGCTACTCTATATAAAGGCGTTGCAACATCATACATGTGAGATACCATGGCTGCTTAACAGCATATTCTCGCTGCTAACCAACAGCGTCACCGTGTGCGAAGCCAAACTGTATATGTATGGCTGATTAAGTGGTGGGTGATCGATTTGCCTAACATCAATTGTTTCAGCACCGCGGTAGTGGACAGCTCCTGTTAAGAGCTTCTTAAAGAGCGATCTTAAGAGTGATCCTTAGAAGGGCATTAAGAACGCATCTGGGAAACACTCGTATCTTAGCAACCCTTCTTACCAAAGACGTTCTTAACTGTGCTCTTAAGTCTTAAGATCGCTCTTAACTGGGAAACACAGCCATTGTCTGTACATTGTCTGCCAAAGCAGACTCTACCTGCTGAGGCAGCTCAGGTCTTTTGGAGTGCAGGGGGTGCTCCTGAAGACCTTCTTTGACACTGTGGTGGCATCAGCCATCTTTTACGGAGTGGTCTGCTGGGGCAGCAGCGTCTCGGCTCCAGATAGGAAGAGACTGGACAAGCTGATCAAGAAGGCCAGTTCTGTTGTAGGATGCTCTCTGGACTCTGTGCAGGTGGTGGGAGAAAGGAGGATGACAGCCAAGCTGTCATCTCTGAGGACTAATGACTCCCATCCTCTGCAGGAGGAGATAAAAGCTCTGGAGAGCTCTTTCAGCGATAGACCGATTCACCCAAAGTGTGTGAAGGAACGCTATTGCAGGATCTTCCTGCCTGCCACTGTCAGGTTACATAACCAGCACTGCTCACAGTAAACTGCACCATGGACACTTTATGGACACCATAATAAGCATAACTGTCCCCCATGTTGTTGTTGTTTATTTGCACATACAATATTCACTTTGCACTAAATATGTTCACTTTAATCCATTGCTCACTTTTTATCCACTGCTCATTATTATTATTATTATTATTTATTGCTGTTTCTTGTATTTTTTGTACTCTTTTTGCATGCCTAGTTTGTTTTACGTTTTTCAATTTTGAAATCTTTAATCTGACTCTTTCCCCTTGACTGCTGTAACACTGGAATTTCTCAATTGTAGGATCAATAAAGGTGTATCTTATCTTACATAGTCAGTCAGTTTACCTGGCAGGATATTTATGTCAGAAGTGCTCTCTGTCTGGTCATGTGTGCATGTGTAGCCTACTCATCTTATCTCAAGGCAATTGAATCGAACGCAGCTGGACTCATCATGTTGCCTACTGACTACATCGCTACTGGCATTACCTACTGATGCTCTAAAGGGCCATCTGCTGATAATGATGTGCTTAGCAGGAAAAAATAACCACACATACCAGTAAATGATAACTAATTACTGAATAATACATGAGAGTAAAAAGTAATTGAAATATTTTTGGGGTTCATTAAAAATTTAAAAAAAGAGGGGAAAAGGTTTTGTTTTTTGTAAGCAAATTTTTACCTTGACCTAAATGCATTTTCTTGAATTCCATTGATCTCAAAAATATCACTAACTGAATGGGCACCCTAAACTTAGTTGGAAATGACACCTTAAATGTTTTTCTACTGTGTTTGGTTCCAAAGTTAAGCATATTTGAATATTATTGGCGGCCATCTTGAATTTGACCTCTCCCGGGCCTCAGAGGTCAAATCTGACTTCCCTCCACATCTGAAAATAAACCTTATGGTATGTGTGTCAAAAAGTGCACAATTCCTCATAATCTGAGAGCTTATCCGCTGTACTACTTGGATCTGACTGGGAAGCCGAGGAAAGACAGCCCGTCACTCAAACTTTAAGCTTTAATTAAATGTAAACAGGTAAGTTGTAAGTTCACTCCCTATAGCTGTCATGAAGGGTAAGATTAGCTATAGAGAGCAAAACTGTTTTTGCTACCAGGCAGAAGAATTGATTCAACTCATCAACAAAACTTTGACTGTTACATATGGACCTATCACCTTTTTTACTGTTTTCCCCATTAATGTATTTAGACCCTCCCAGGCCTGTTTTTTTTTACCACTAAAATATTTGCTTTCTATTTTTTTTTTTGTACTCAATTTTTGCTTTAAAGATATTCCCTCTTGATTGTCTCCTTTTTTCCTGCATTAATTCCATATGACCAATGCAGAAAACAGCCTTCCTTTCATTGAGACATGTTTTCAGTTGTTTAGAGACCCAGGATTTATTATTTGGGAATATTTACACTGCCTTTGTTTCAGACACATAGCTCTCACAAAACTTAAAGGAGCTATATGTAAGAAATCTAAAGCAAATAGTCGTAAAAATAATACTAATATGTCACAGAGACTAAGGAATAATGTTCATATAACATACTGATCTCACCGACAACAATAGTACAGCCAGAATATTTGCATCTAAAAAAATTTTTTGCAGTCTGCAAATCATGTTTATGTTTTGAATTTGTGTTCTGGCCTGTGGCGCCACCCACTGCCATCTACCAGTCACGGCAGTCAGTAGAGTCTCAGCACCTCGAGTCTGGGGGGGGGGGACACGACTCGCCACTCGGCCACATTCTTACATACAGCACCTTTAATATATGATGTGATAGTGTCCATGAGTTTATCCCCATCCTGACAGGATTCAAAGAAAATATCCCAATTTGTATCATCAAAGCAGTCCCTGAGTTGTTCTTTGCTTTTCTCAGACCACACCTGTATTTGCTTGGAAACTGGTTTCATTCTTTTGACCACTGCTTTGTATTTAGGCAAAAGATAAATTACATTTTGGTCTGATTTTCGGACAGGTGGTCTGCATACCACTTTACAGTATAAGCCTCCGGGATGTTGCCATAGCACTATCAAGCGTTCAATTAACGTGTAGGACAGTCCACGTTTTGCTGAAGGGTAGGCAAGTGGTCAGGCAAATTACAGGAGTTAAAGTCCCCGAGAACGAAGATAGGCTGGTCTGCAGAGCAGGCGAGTGCATTATTTTTCCTGTCAGCTCTTATAGTGGTGTACCCAGGCAGTTTCATGATTGTTTTTAAGCCATGTTTCCGTCAGACACACAAGGTTACTCTGTCTGAATTCACAGTCGTGCTCGACTCTTAATGCAAGCTCATCAAGTTTGTTGCTTACCGAGCGAACATTGGACAGAGTGATGAAAGGCAGTGGGAATCTGCTGCGGTGTCTCCAAAGTCGGTGCCTCACGCCTCCCCTTGAGCCTCGCTTTTTCTTCAACCTCTCCAGCAATTTAACCGGTGGTCGGATTTCCTCGCAGTCCCCAGGTACAAAGACCGATGGAGCCCCACTAATTGGGCGAAGTGAGAGCAGGTGCTCTTGAGTGTAGGTGAGGAAGTCCTGTCAAGTTGTCAGGTAATTCCCAGGTGCAAGTGCAGATAGGCACAGTAGTATCCACAATGAAGCGATTTTCATTATGACAATAAAGTGTAAAGTGCAATAATGTTTTCAGTGGTGACATCCACATCAGACAAAAGAACTGTTCAAAATATACATTAAAAAACAGCCTAAAAACACTGACAAACAAAACGGTGGGCACAGGGTCAGCAGCTGGCTGGGCCCCCGGAAATCTGGTCAAATGGTCAAATATGCACTATTGAATTTACAATAAAATAAGAATATACATTGCATTAAACGTGCGCTAGGATGCGTTTAACATCATGACTATGATGTTCAAGCGTCAGCTGTTTATTACCAGTTTTCAAACGCGACCTCCCTCTCATACATTCTCGTGTCAGCACGGTGGACGCGGAGCCTCCAAGCATTCCTATGAGACAGCGCTGAGCAGGTTTTATTCAAGCAGCAAAGCGAGACGATCATTGGATAAATGCGACAAAAACATCACTTCCAGGGAGGCTCAGCTTCCCTGGGACCTAAAGGAGCGGTAGGCGGGAGAGGACGCTTGGTGTATGCATGATGATTGGAGGAAATGTCTAAAAGGCTGAACCCCATTGTGATTGACAGCGCTTCGCATTTCGAGCTCAGTCCCATGCAGAGATTTACGAGTGGAGTCTTCTGACAGAGTGCTGTCCAGAGTTCCTTATTTCCATAAGCCATATTGCTCATTTTCACCCTTTTTTACACAGTTCAGGTGTTAAACCCATCTCAAAATGTGTGAGGTGTGTTTTACTGTGGTTATATGGCATGAGTGTGATTCAATTAAATGTTCCTTTTATAAGTTACTGCCTCTCTACAATATGACAAATTTTATGATGTAAACTTAAAGTGAGCTTCCCCTGTTTGAAAGACCAGCAGCCGCCACTGCTATATAGTTTATATGGATTGCAATGTACAGATCAGACGAGCAATAGTTTTGAGCAACTAGTTGTAATGAAGCTAACAAGATACAAATTGCCTTGCCAGCTTTCAGCAGGTGCCGATATTATCATACAGACTTCTTGTGATGAACCTTATGAGCAACAGACAATCTCCTATATGGCCATCACTCAATAGGTGGCACTGTTGTTCTTATAACTGCACTTTTCTGTTTTACAGTACAAAAGTTACAAAATCCAAAAAGGAGGACCAGGGACGTTTTACCCTTTTGCCTTCACTGACATCATGGGCCTTGATAAGGAAACCAGTAAAGGAGCAAATGTGGAAGACATCAAACTGGCCATGATGGGACACATTAAAGATGGATATACGGTAAAATATACTGAATTCATTAAACTCTATTGGATATATTTCAGTAAATCAATCCAGCTTTGACATCTTTTTTTTAACCAATAATTATATTTATTTATTAATTATTTATTTTATAAATATTTATTTAGATATATTCAGTGGAAAAAATTAACATGCAAAGTCATTCTTTAATTTAATTAACATTGTTTTCCAGTTCAATCCTCACTCTAAAATATCCAAGAATGATCCAGACTACAACAAAGACCCCGCTCTGAAGGACTGAGTTCATGTTCTGGTTTGTGTCGTCTCGGCCGAGACGTTTAACATCCTGAGTGATGAACATGTGAAAAAGATGAGGGATGTCAGACTGGCAGCCAGAGACATGGGTAAGAGTTATAGGGTTAGTTACTGGGTTTCATAAGTTTAATCCAATAACCTGACAAACATTAACTTAACTGACTCAGATTCTGCTCTGTATCGGCAGGAATTCCTGAAGTGGCCATTCTCACCCAAATTGACAAAGTCTGTCCAGAGGTCAAAAAAGACATAAAGAACGTGTATAAGAGAAAGTACCTGAAGAAACATATAGGTTAATAAAGATGACTGAGTTTGTAAAGAGGTTTTTTCAAATTGCAAAATAGTTTTGCTTTACACTTTAATAATCTAACACAAAAATCTCCTTTGATCAGCTCTTTGCTGTCATTCCTTAAATGTTGAATGTTCATATTTAGATGGAGAGATTTAGTGTGGCGCTGGGTACTCCACTGTACTGCATCTTTCCTGTGAAGAACTACGACTCAGAGATCGACACAGACGATGACACTGATACACTGGTACTTAGTGCACTGAGGCAGATCATTAACTTTGGAGATGACTTTGTCATCAACCTGTAGACCTCCATACTGCTGCTGAGACAACTCTTACACATTTATCACAGTGTGAAAAAAGTCAGTCTGCAGCATAAAATGGGCTTTTGGGTCTTTACTTGCATGCATGTAATACATATAGTGTCTGCTATTGGTAAGTTTAGCCTTGCTGAATAAAGTGTTAAGAACTATATACTCACTATACATTTGAGTTTTTGCATTGTAATGCTATTAGTTATGTTTTATTGTCTTAGCTGGTAGTTTTTGGTGTTGTCGTCTCTCAGTAATCATGAATCTGGTGACGAGCAGGTCAGAAGGTTCATCTAGGTAAAACTGGGCTAAATTAGGTTCAGAAGTTCAACTTTTTTAGACTGCTAATGACGATGTTGTATATATTGTTCCAACAGTATGTTTGAAACTGCTGCAGTACTGAAACCAGCTGAAACCACAATAAATGACAGTACTGAAGTGCGTCACCAGTTTCCTTTCATTCCTTCGAGTCGAAGACTAAACTCTGTTGTAATGCAGTCTATCGGAAGTGGTTCACGCAGCTGCCAAGTTTACTTTTGCTGCTCAGGAAATGTTAATCTATGAGTCTAGACCAACCCATCAAAGACTCGTCTATGGACCTGACTCAGTCGCACTCAATCTGGAAGTTTACATCACAGAGGAGAGGCTACAGGATTATTTAAGAAACTCTTTAAGTATAATGAGCACAGAACACTTTTACTTAAACTACAAATGAATTACTTTATTTTGATTATGCAGATGCTTACAGTAAAAAAACTAATATCAATCAGGTGTAAAAAATCCAGTCAAAACAGAATTATTAAAAGTGCATTTGCAGCTTAAATCATTTCCAGCAACTACAACAACTTACATTTTAGAAGGGAGCTGTAGTTAACTAAAGCAACACATTCTCACTCTGACCTCGTCACACATTGACGTTTGGTCATGGACTTTCCACGTCCAAGTATGACATGCAAGGTACCCTGAGTGCTTGTCAAGTTCTCCTCTTTCAAAATACACCTCCGTTTTCCCTGGAAATTTATCGTTTACATACAGTCTCTTTCTAAATAAACACACTACATTGGAACAACCCTACAAATTGACGTTTGTTTTCCTTCAACAACTAACACACATGGTTGGGTTTATAGGCTACAAAAGCATGTGGTTATGTTTAGGGGGGAAAAAACAGGGTTTGGCTTCAGAATCTTACGGGACGTGAACACCGCTCTCTCGGGTGAAAGTCCATGTTTGTTGAACCCATCAACGACCTCTCCTGCCCCCCCTACTTGGACTGATGCCGCCTTAACTTTCGTCCTTGTCCCATCGCGGTTCTCCCTGAACCCGCCAGGTGCCATTAAACTATAATGGCAACTGGCTGTGTATCATGCCGACATTAAAGGATGTCTTTTATCATTGGTTTCTGGTTTCTGATGGCACACATCACTGCGTAAGTGCCGGATTTCGCCGGGCTCTTTTTTCTGTGGGATTACAGTTGAAGTTTAATGCGGTTTTTAGACGCTCTTAGATTTTTACATTGTTGTGTATTGCACAGAATGTTTACATCTAGAGTGAGTGACATCACACACTTACAAAAACGTGTATGCTGACATGGTTCCATTCATAGTACAGCTTTAGGGTCCACATCAGCCCCAAGCAAAACTAATACGATCAAGTACAAAGAGTCATGATTTGTTTAAAGTTTGAATGAAGTTTCTAAGTGAAAGTTTTACCGAGTATAAAGAGGTTTGAGAGGAGTTCACGAGGTACAAAGATGGATGGAATGCTCAGAATTTGAACATCGTGTCCGTTCATATCAATGGGCAAAAAAGTTGAACAACAGCACAGATCTTCTTAGTTAGTGAACACTTTGAAGTTTGAATAAAGAAAAGTTTGAGGACACTGGAACCTCCAAACAAGTTAAAAAAAAAGAAGAATAAAGAAATAAATTCAAGTGTGTGAGTGCATCACTGAAGGCATGCCACTGTCTAGAGACAGAGTGCTTTGTTCCTATAAGACTGTAGTGATGGCTGCAATTGAGCAATAAGATAAACACCACAAACTGGTCACGTGTTGTCAGACACTGTAAATTTGCCCTTGGAGACACTAAATCAGACAACTGCACAACAGACAGACACCTCAGAACATTCACAGCTCTGTTTTGGACCCCTGGGTGTCCAAGACCTGCTTGAACCTTTGTGTGGGGGCTGGGCATTGTGGAGGGAAGTTCAATCAGCTGTTCAAAATCTGACAGTAGTTTAACTTGAAATTAGGTTGTTTATTTGCTTTTTGGTTATAAACATGCAGTACTTTGACTTTTAAGCTGCAGCAAACGACTTGTTTATTTGTCAGAGGGAACTATATGTGCACAGGCCAGAAAAGGAAATTCTTACAAACCACTAAAGGAAACCAAAAGGATGTTAGCAGCACATTAAAAGCTGCATTTCCTCACACTGCTTACATCAATATAACACCCAACAGGCATCGACAGCTACTGGACACTCCTAGGTATACTAACAGTGTCTTTACAATACACATAGGAACGTCAGTGCATGATCGTTCACTGCTTTAATAATTCTACAAGTGACTGTGTGGCTCTACAGTAATATAATTTGTCAAAGTGATAACAAGGAGTTTGATCTGTTTCAGAAGCGATACTTGAGCTAAACCATCACGACCACAGCACGACGACTGAGGTAAGATTTTCTTTTCTTTCTTTTCTTTTTTTAAGATAATCATATGTAAAGAAACAAACAAAACACCAATACAAACTGTTTTAGAGATGGAAAAGTTCAACAAAGAACAAGAAAATACTAGTGCTGCCATTTTGAACTATATTAGTCTGATAGCTGTTTACCCAGTGCTCTTATATGACTGAATGTAAGTACTGTATCAGTATATTCATGTGGAGGGTCAATTTATTTTTGTCTCTGTCTTAATTTAGATTATTTAACAGTGAAAAATGCCTGTGAACATTCTTATATCTTTTACTTTCGCTTTCCCTTTCTGCGCACTCTTAATGTATTGTATATGTTCTGCTATTTCATTTAGAATTAAAGATATACATCTAGAACAAAGTGTTAATTCATGCAGCAGGCTTAAGTCTGAACTTGCAAATTAATATTTTGAAATATTATTATCAGACCACAAATGAGACAAGAATTGGCACAACACACCCACTCTCTCACTCTGACGTCTTTCCTGTTGATTGATTTGGCTGCTGCTGCTCCAATGAGCCGCACTATGGCAAGCCATTTAAACATTTAATCGCTAAGTTTGACTATCCGGAATTACCATTATAGATATCAACAACGTCATTTTGATTAGTAGTAATGTCATTGTGACCAGTATGAATTTTAATTGAAGATATCTATAACGTCATCCTGACTAGTCAAAACTGAATTACAGATATCTATAACGTCATTCTGACTAGTCAAAACTACAGTTACAGATATCTGTAATTCAGTTTTGACTAGTAAGATTCAAACTATTTTTGCCATTCATGTGTATGGGGTTTGTCATCATAAATATCTACAATTACATTTTGACTATCTATAATTCCAGTTTGAGATATCTACGTCATTTTGTCTAGTCATAATTCAGTTACAGATATCTACAACATCATTTTGACTAGTCATAATTCAGTTACAGATATCTACAACGTCATTTTGACTAGTCATAATTCAGTTACAGATATCTACAACATCATTTTGACTAGTCATAATTCAGTTGCAGATATCTACAACGTCATTTTGACTAGTCATAATTCAGTTGCAGATATCTACAACGTCATTTTGACTAGTCATAATTCAGTTGCAGATATCTACAACGTCATTTTGACTAGTCATAATTCGAATTCAAGATATCTACAACGTCATTCTGACTATCTGAAACTTAATTCAAGATATCTAGAAAGGACCATGTAGATATCTTCAATTGATGATAATTAAAGATATCTTGAAATTGAATTATGACTAGTCAAAATTAAATTGTAGATATCTCAAACTGGAATTACAGATATCCACAATTCAGTTGCAGATATCAGAAATAACAATTGCAGAAATCCGCAACTACATTGGAGATATCTATAATGACAAACCCCATACACATGAATGGCAAAAGTAGTTTGAATCTTACTAGTCAAAACTGAATTACAGATATCTGTAATTAGAGTTTTGACTAGTCAAAATCTAATTTCAGATATCTTGAATAAGAGTTTTGACTAGGCAAAATTATGTTGCAGATATCAGTAATGAATATCCAGTCTAGTGATTAAATGTTAAAATGGCTTGCCATAGCCACACCACAGAGTTCCGACCAAAGCGATCACAGCAGGTTGAAATGTCCAACCATCCTGCGGTTCCCTGTGGCCAGGAGATGGTGAAGAAGAGTCGGTGTGTTGTTTATTTCTGCCGGTGGAATCTCTGCGTTGATTGCACCTGTTCTCTGCACACAGTTTACTTTCTGCGTCATTTTTAGTTGTGATCCAACTTTTCTAAATAGCTTTAGTGCTTCACTCTACTATACAGAAGAAACAGGAAGATTAAAGACAGGATGGATGACTCTTCCTCAAACACATGGCCCAAAACTACATTTTACCCGGTGCTACTGTCAAAGTGGGACACCTCTATTGGCAATCTGGGACACTACAAACACATTCTTATTTATGAGTAGGCCTAATTAATACACAATAGTCATATAAAGAACAATAAACATCTTCTTTTTTTAACCTCTCTAACTCCCCTCGGATGCAGGCGTCCGCGCTCCCTCCCTCCTCTGTTAAAGGGTTAAATGGGATCTCACAGGCTCACTACGTCATCAAACCATGTGATGTTTGGTATCAAAACATCATTTTTCTTTTATCTCTTATGGATTTCGCACCAGAGCAGCCTAAATACACGAAGTCCAAAATTGCGATGAGTGATGACAAGTCATGACATGCCGTTTTTCGAGGGGAAAAGTTAAAGGATTACTCGCGATCTCATGCCGAGCCGTCAGTGGACACGTAGCTGGTTTATAAAAGGTAAGAGTCTCACTCCTACCACTATTTTTGGCTGAGATATACCGCTTAGAAAGTGGGATCACAACCTTCACGTTTCATATGGCTTTATTTGGTGATATTTTATGGTGTTTCTGTCATAAACAACATCAGCTATCATAATCACGCCTGATTTCAATAAGGTACGATGTTTGAAGCTGGCTGAGTGTTGTTTGATCACTGATAGTACTGTTTTGAAGCGGAGTGAGCGCTCTTATCATGTGGAGCTCCGCCTGGATCTTTTCATGGAAAAAAACACTGTAGAATGGTCATACTTTGAGCAATCTTCTTCAAACTTGAAACAAATGTGCATTGATAGTGTGCCTACAGCCCCACAGTGTCATTTACCTGCTCAGATGAAGCCCCAGACAGTTATTCATCCTGAAAATCATTTTATATTTTATTTTAGGCAAAATCTTCAACTTTTTACTGACTTCAGAGGCCCATTACTCTGTCTCTGTATCACCTAGAGTGTTTCTGACACTTTCACAAGAAACTTCAGAGAGTTTGCTTTCTGGCAAGACCTCATGCATGCATGTAGTCAGAGCGGTACAGAGGCTACAGTCATTTTAATTTGGGTATGTCATTTTAGGCGTTTTCGCTACAAAATGGGGGTGGAGTGCAAGAGAAGGGGTACAGGTACAAATAAATATATTTATTCCTGCTGTAAAGTTGGGCATTTTATCACTGGGGTCTGTGGAGATCGACTGGCTGAGAGAAAGAGCGCAACCTGGTGCTTTATCCATGTGCATGTTTCCCAAACTCACCCAGAGGTAGGCCTATACACCAACCATGTTTTTGCGAATCACTTAGGAACGTTAACTCATGATCATTAACTATTTTAGTTTGTCTACAAGAGACTGTGGTTCTGTTGTCAGATCATTTGTCAAAGACATAAAAAGGAACTTGGAATACCATATAAAAAGCTTTATTTCTCAATTTCAGGAGCATTTATTGAGGTAAACCATCACCACTTCTTTTCCTCAGGCAGAACAGCTGAGGTAAGATTGTTTTATGATATTTATATGTTAGATACGTTTTCTTAGGATGGACAAGTTGAAGAGAGAACAAGAAAATACTAGAGAGTGCAGTCATTTTGAGGTAGAACTCTTATAATGGTTTAATATCAGTACTGTATCAGTAAATTCATGGAGTGGGTCTATTTGATTTTCAATTTCTGTCTTTAGTTTGATCAGGTTAAAGTGAAAAATGCCTGTAAATCTTTTGTTTACAGGCATTTTGTCAGTTTTTTTTGTTAACCTGTTTACTTTCACTTTCACTTCTTAAGTTACTGTATATTTTCTGCTTTTCAATTGAATTTGATTAAAAATAATCATAAAGACTGAATATGTTGCTCATGCAGAGCATGACATTTGCTTTGGTTTTAAGTAACACGCTTTAATAATGTTTCTTGTTTACATGTTGCCTTTATATCTTGTTGTAGCCATGGGAAATAAATCTGACAAATCTGAACCCCCCCCACCTTCTCCCAGTAAGACATTCAAATTATTACAGAACACGTGGATAAAAGTAGAAATGACAGATTCTTCATTTATTTTAAAAGTTTCTTTAAATGTGACTCCTTACAACAGCTTTACATTTGCATTTTACTTGTCAGCTTTTGA